TAAATCGTATAAGTTACATAGAAATCTAAATTGTATATTAAGAAATCTAATTACACACACATATATATAAAGTTAATCCTAATCTTATTAATATTTTAACTCTAACTAAATAGTTTGTATAATTTATCTTTACAGTTGACTCATGAGGCAAAATTGTTAGAGAAAGAACAATTTATATGGAGAGTGCTTGATAATATGCCAAGCATAGTTAAATAGGTCATTTTACAAGATGTGAACCAGTTGTAACTACTTGCTGTCAAGCTGAAAAGACATAGTTTGTTGCTATGTAATAGAGATTATGTTAGAAACGCACTCTTCTTTTCCCTCATGATTTTTGTCCCATTGGGTTTTGTCATAAAGAGGTTTTTTAATGAGGCTTTTCCTTCATGCTCGGGGTAGTATTGTGATTATAATATGAGGGGCTCTAATATGTTTATAATTTGTAAATTTCATATTATAATCATGGGTGATAGATCATATTATTATTGCTGCTAAATTTTTTGAAAATTTTTAGATATTATACATATTTTTAATGGCCTTGAACAGTAATATATATTTATGGGGTAGTGATCTTTTTAAAAATTTTAAATTTATTTATTTATTATATAATTTTAATGGCCCTCAAAATATTTTTTATTTAATAATTAATATAAATAATAAATAATAAAATGATTCCATAAGTTATAATCAACTTTACATTAATTCTTAAGGTTATTCACACCTCTTTCTCCCTCTCTTATTTTCTTTCTCTTTTGTTTTTTTATTTTTACTTTATTTTCTCTTATATAACTCAACACTAAAACACACTTTATTATTTAAAAAATATTTATGAATTTGTGAGTTTGGATAAAGATTACTCACTGTTGTTGTGCGAAATTAACTATTTATATGTTTTATTACTTTGATTTACATGTTATATAAAGTTGTTATTTATTATAAATCTTTTAATTGTTATTTAGATCTAACGTATTAGTTTTATTGATTGTTATTTAAGATTAGAGAATAAGATCACCTATCTTAATCTTGTCATGATAGATGGTTAGCACTAGAGTAAACGCCAATAGTCATTCTAGAGCCTTGGCAGAGTTTATTCCTCCTATTCTTCTTCGACCCCCTCAAGGAATGTTAGCTAGCTCTACTTTCTATTGTAAACCATGGTACGGTGATGATTAACGAAATTCATCTTTTCTTCAAAAAAAATTTATCTTAATAGTATAAATTTTAATCTTATTAATTATGTCGTGTCATACAAAATTTAATTTGATATATTTAATAAACGTATTAATTAAGTTATGTTACACATTTATTAAGCATATTTATATACATATTTAAGATTCAAACACAATTAATTAATCAGTGTCGTATTTATCTTTATTCATATAATTATTTATATTATATATTTACACAATACGATTAAGACAGAAAATAAAAATTATCAAATTTAAAAAATAGTAGAGTACAATTCAAAGGCAAACATGGAAGTTAATCCAGCAGCCACAAGGTCACATCAACTCATCAAGCAAGTTAAAGAGCAGGGATCACCAGTCGGGCAATTTCATTAAATTTAGAACTCATCATCCCGGCGAGTTGTATTTAAAATAATAATTTATTTATTTATTTATTTATTTATTATTTATCCCTTAGAAATAATTGCGAGTATACTAACCCAAATAGAAGGGCAATTTGCTTCTCCTATGCCCCGCAAAGCTCACGGGGTTACTCAAGAAATATTAAAGACACTTTTCCTTCGTTTCAGGCTTTTAACTCACTAACCAAAGCCATCCCCGACTGGCAACTTATTTAAGATTTTTGTCACTCCCTCTTTCCTGTTACTTGGGCCTCTCTTACACCCGACCTTTATTACACTTTAAATGTGGTCCATTTTTCCATTGCCTGGTGATTTTCTTATAGATTTAGTGGGCCCAACTGGCTTACAGTAGATCCCTCCCGCGGTAAATATACTAGTGGCATGCCATTGCCACCACCACTTGCATTTTGTTCCACTACATTTTTACACAAATTTTTAATTATTGTGATGATTAAATTACATGCTTTCAATATTGACCCAATTCTTCTACAAGAAATCTACAAGCCATGCAATAAAGTTAACCCTAATTTATCTTCAACCTTTAATTTAAATTCATAAAATATTTATGTAAATTAATAGTTTTATTAACGGATTTTCATAACGTTCTTTAGATTTAATTAAATTATTATTTTCAGAAATAATTTAGAATAAAAGTTGGAAGTCTTATCTTATATTGATGATTGACGAGTGATGAATGATGAAAGAGAAGTAGGATTCTTATGTAGTAGTTTTCCTGTAACAGAAACAAAGAGAAAAAGTTAGATGGTGAGGGGACATGTGTAAAGAGGGAGGGAGCAACGGTTGAGCAACCAGATCCTGAAAAAGGGAAAAGGGGGGAAGTAAGGAGCGAGGGTGATGAGAAGGGACAAAGGGTGGGTTAAGGTTTGGAACTTTTGATTGGACACCAGGTGCGGTGAACTGAAATGAAGGGTGTCACGAGATACTTGGGAACCCTTCCTCTCTTTATCCCTCTCTGTAAATAGTCACTACGACTACTCCTCACCCCTCTTCCTGCTACAAGCTTCAATCCTTTTCTTGACTTGAATGCAAATTATGTCTACCAATATATAGCTTTGACATTTGACATTAGCCTTATTTATCCAGATCCTGCTAATGCCTCCAGGCTTTACCCTGTCTCCTCTACTTCCAATGAATATTTAGGCCATGCACTTGGCTTTTGTTTTTGTGAAATTTGTCAAGGTCTACCCACCCCTCCTAAGTGCTTCCACCCAAGTTTTCGTCTTCATTTACAACTATTATTCTAGTCTCATCAATGTATGACTTATGTTAACGTCTGACTTAGTTCTTTTGAAGCTTCCTTCAATCTCAAAGCAACTGGATAATTAAACTGTTTAGAATTTTAATTAAAATTTAGAGGTGTAAGAGTATTTTAATTAAACTATATGTTATTCTATACCATTCTTTTATTTTTGATGAAATACAATTTAAATTTGAAAATTTTATCCCTTAAAAAAAAGTGACAACCGTTACGCCAAACTTAAATTATTGTTACTTTATTTAATTTATAACCAAATGAGTATATAATTATTTCTGAAATGATAAATGCAAGAGCGTTGTAATCACCATAGAAAGCATGTTTTCCGTTTTCCATTCTCTTTCTTTTTAAAAAATGGAGAAATTAACATACTATGTAACTGTTGCCTTGTTCCAGAATCTACCCTCTATGATAGACAAAGTATTTAAACTAATTTCTTCTATTTTAGAAGCAAAACAAAGGGTGAAAACCCAGTCTCAACTGGCTTTCACCAATGGCAAGAATTCCAGAATTAAAGAGCGTTTCGTTGGCAGGGCTACTATAGCTAGCATGAATAAATTTTCTTACCAAACAAAACCCTTTAAAAAGTTAAATCCATAATCATAATGTAGGTTTAATGTTTCTTTCACCACTCAAGGTAGAGTTTCTGTGCAGTTATTTTTACTCTCTCTTTTAACATGTGATGGTAGTTTTTTTTTTTTTTTGGGATAAAATCCAAACTTACTATTTACTTTTGAACAAGTACAATTTTACTATTACATATTTAAGTTAATTAAACAATAATTAAAATTTAAAAATTTTGTAAAATGTTGTTCTTTTATTTCCTAACAAAATATTTTTGTGTTGTCAGTTTTTATAATTTTTGAAACCAAATTAAAAAAAAAAAACAAGATAATAAAATTATATCCCATTCAAAAATAAATGATAAAATTGAAGTAATAAGTAAAATGGTAATTAAATTTTTACCTTTTATGTTGTCACAATACATCGAACAAGGGTTGATTTTGGCCAAATTGCAGAGAAACAACGGAACAAGACATGGAACACTTGGGACCACGACTTAAATACGCCAACCCATTTGGTTATATTTTATTTTAACTCATTGCTGGTACTAGGGTTTGGCATTTTACACAAGATAAAAAAAAAAAAAAGTAGGGAAGATGAAATATCAACATCCTATTTGGTATCTTGTGATGCTTTTGCAACTAAATTGCTCACACTGAGTCAATTACAAAGTACTACCAATGTGTATTTGTTTTCTGAAAGTCAATTAAAAAGTAATATCAATATGCTTTAGTTGTTTTTCAACATATGCTAATGATAATTAAAATTTTTAAATAAAAATACTCATTTTAAATATTAATGAATTCGAATATGAATTAGGGTAATAATAATTTGCTTTATTTGTGCAATCTTATATGTACTGGAAAATGGGAAAAGCAAAGAAAAAGGGTACACAAATTGCCAAACGGCTTGTTAAGGCCTAATGTCATCATCGCCAAAGCCAAAGAAGGAAGCTGCTTTTCTTGTTAATACGGCTTAGACTTTTTGATTTCTTTTTTAAATTGGGTCCTCCTTAGTTCGTAACGTAAACAATTCACGTTAAGTGTTCTAAAACGTAAACATACATACATATACATTAATTTTAAAAAATTAAAAAAAAAACTTAACACTAAAGAATTTGAATACAAGAGAAAGGATTTAAATTTTACATTTTAATATAAATTATGTGATAAGATATAAGTAAACATGATTTCATGGTTACTTTTATCTATTTACTGATGAAAAATTTAAATACTTAGATAAATTTATAAATATTGTTTATGTTTTGAACTACAAAAAATATGTTAATTTTTATTCACCGTGTGCATTTCATATTCATAGTTTATATAATAAATCAAATCAAAATTCATGTTGCTTGACGTAATATTTTATCAGTCATAAGGTAAAATGGTTATTAAATATTCATTATTACGTTGAGAATGTGAAATTTGTCATCTGGTAAATAATGAAAAATACCAACTTACTCATAAAAGTTACTCGTAATAACTTATTATTATTATAGAACAAAGCACATGTGGCTTTAATTTTACAAGTTGGGGACTGCATCAGCTTAAATTTCTATTTTCTATCTTTTAAGAGAAGAAAAGAAAAGAAAAAATCAGGTAGAGCCAACCGGGCAGTAGTGACTAGTGTAACGTTCGAAGGAGTAGCGTGTCACAGTCTATGCTTTGCTCTCTAAAATCGACATCTTGCATTTTTTGTTTTCTCTTCGCTGATACAATCAAAAAGCTTTTGCCCTTTTCCCTCTGCAACGTCCCCTTCACTTTCTCTCTCTTTCAAAGCTGCCTTTTTTTCCTCACTATTTTAAGTCCATAACCGCTCAACAAAAACAAACTTAGTTTTTGCTTCTCTCACTTTCCCGATACAACAAAAAAAAAGAGAGTCCTGCAGAGCCAAGAGTTGTCCAAAAACCATGCTTTCGAGGGTGAACGGCGGTGTCGTTTGGATGGAAGATAAAGAAGATGAAGAATCTGCTTCATGGAACAGGACCAACAACAGCAACAGCAACAATAACAATAGTGTTATCATGGAGAACAAAGAAGAGATGGGTTCGTTATCTACATTCAAATCCATGTTAGAAGAAGAATGGTACGTAGCAAACAACAGTATTTCAAGCCATCAAGATATTAGAGACCTTTCATTCTCACCAAATCTTGCTGACCATCAAGATAATATTTTGCTGCATCATCATCATCAGCAGCAGCAGCAGCACCATCCAGTGGATTCTTCCTCTTCCTGTTCACCATCTTCCTCTGTTTTCAACAATCTTGACCCCTCTCAGGTACACTACTTTTTGCAACCAAAACCAACCTTATCTTCACTCCTTAACGTTGTTTCTAATAACCCTTTAGAGCATGGGTTTGATTTGAGCGAAATTGGGTTCCTTGACAACCAAGCAACAAATGCTACTACTCTGTTGAACAGGGGAAATGCTGGGGTTTTGGGTAGTTTCACTGAGTTAAGCCATGGTAATCAGATAGACACTGCTAATTTGTGTGCCGAGACTCAGTTTTCGAGTTCTAGGATGGTTCAGCTACCGGAAAATGGTGCGGGGTTCGCGGGTTTTCAAGGATTTGATGAGAATCCTGGAACTGCTCTGTTTTTAAATAGGTCGAAGTTATTAAGGCCACTGGAAAGTTTTCCTTCAGTCGGAGCACAACCAACTCTTTTCCAAAAAAGAGCAGCTTTGAGGAAGAATTTAGCTGATAATGGAGGGAATTTCGGGTTGTTAGGTGGAGGAAAGGTTAATGCTCTGAATGGAATTGAGGGAGATGAAGGGAAAAAAGAAATGGATGAAGAGAATGAGAAGAGGAATATTATCAATAGAGATGATCTAGAAGATGTGAGTATTGATGGGTCTGCTCTAAATTATGATTCAGATGAGTTTACTGAGAATAACAAGGTGGAGGAAACTCTTAAAAATGGTGGGAATACTTCGAATGCAAACAGTACTGTCACTGGAGGAGATCAAAAGGGTAAAAAGAAAGGGCTTCCTGCTAAGAATTTGATGGCTGAGAGGCGCCGTCGAAAGAAACTCAATGATAGGCTATACATGTTGCGGTCTGTTGTTCCGAAGATTAGCAAAGTAAGAATTTCCTTCACGTTTCTCTTTTTTCTATATTTTCCCCCTTCTCTTTTCGTTTTTATCTCGTGAATTCAAGTATGAATTATTGAGTTATTTTAGATCCTCAGAAATATCAAATATTCTGACTTTTTATCTTTGTTTTCGTGGTTGATGTTTTTGTATTATGTGTGAATGAGTGGCATCTTTTGTTTTTACATGTTCCCCCAAAATGCTCTGAGAAAGTTGCATTCATTTCTCTCACATGGACTCTGGTAGAGTGTTTTAAATTTCACTTTGGACCACATTCCAGCAAGTTAGTTCTTTTAAGTCATCCATAAGTAAAGTAACACTCGATAATTGCATTATATAATATATATATATATATTTATCCTGTCTTTTGTATTGGGGCAGCAACATACTTCGTTTTCTATGGCTGCATTTGGTTCTCTTCTCTAGCCTTTGATGGCTGCCTCCTGTTTTTGCCGAGCGTTCACCCTTGTCCTTTGCACTGCTTCTTTTTCTTATTCCAGCCTATTTATCTTGAACTTTCCTTGTTTTTGTCATTTTTATACACTTGAATTGTTCAGGGTGATTTGTCGTTTAAATTCATGTTCTAGGGTTGAAAATATATGGCTATAAACAGAAATAATGGGTAATAAGTATCTGCAGTTCATTAATTGTTATAAAGTACAAAAAAAAAAAAAAGAACTACTGAAGCAATTTCAAATGAGTCTATGATAATTGAGGCTTCTTGTCAAAGAAAATTTTGGTGTGGACTCACCAATACTGTGCTTCAGATTGAGTGATGAGACTTTTCTTAGGGTCAGAATGGCTAGGTACCTTTGCCTTGTACTGGTACACATGAAGTTCTCAAACATCAAAACTAATATGAGAACCTTTTTCAGATAGAATTGCTGGACTCTTCTGTAGATGTTTGTGCTTCTGTTCATTAACTTCACAATTTAATTTATAATCCCATCCAACTTGAACAAAGAACATGTTACTTTCACTTCCTAAGGAAGGCTTCATATTCTCTCAGTTTTGCTTCTTAGAAATAGTATGATTTACTTTTACCCTTCTACTAATAGATGGATAGAGCTTCTATTCTTGGGGATGCAATTGAGTACCTGAAGGAACTTCTGCAAAGGATCAATGACCTCCACAATGAATTGGAGTCAAACCCTCCTAGCTCTTCACTCACACCTACAACAAGCTTCCATCCTCTGACGCCCACGCCAGTTACCTTGCCCAGTCGTATCAAGGATGAACTTTGCCCCAGTTCATTACCCAGTCCAAATGGGCAGCCAGCAAGGGTAAATTCGTCTCCTTATGCTATGAGCTACTCTCATTTTTCTCTTATCATATATCATAAACTCATTTTTATTTCCAGCATACTTAAATTTGTTTCTGCTACCATATCTAGTTTCTCACTTTCTGAGTCTGAGCAAGATCAGTATTTAATTAGTCATGCATTAGATGTAAATGTTCATCCACGTGGGTTGCCACTAGACCTAGTAACTTTGAATAGGACACGACAACACAACATCAAGTTGAGTGAGTTTGAGTTAAGGATAATCGTGTTTTGTGTCTTAAATGTATAAAACCCTCCAAACTCGATTAAGACATGTTTAGTTAATCGTATTATTGTATATTTGTATAACCCATGCCTGTTTATTACTTATTTAATTAATCATGTAAACACATTTAAATAATTTGTTTATGACCCGTTTAAACTTCATATAAATACTTTTTGCATTATAATTAATGATAATGGTGAATTTTATTATACTTGCTGCATAGGATTATTAGTTTAGAGTTGAGCAATAAAATTATATTTTATTTACAACTGTATGTATTTTAAGTTAATTATATTAATCGTGTTTTCATGTTAATTGTTTAAACGATTTATAAATCGTGTTGTATCATATAAAATTTATCCTAACTCATTTAATAAACGTGTTACTTATATCGTATTATGTCACATGTTTATGATCCTGACACGTTCAATTAATTGTATCATAAACATGGTTAAAAGGCATAAACACGAATTGCCAGTACTGGTTGCCAAATAGTGAACGTATTTTGGCAGGCATATCCGGTAAAATCAGTCCATAGGTGCATAATAGGGAATGTGGGTCATGGGTTTTTCTCTCTGCACTCTCCTTTATGTGGGTTGCATGTAGGCGGCATTACAGACGAGTCATGTTGTATGTTTTATACAAATTGTGATACTAACTAATTTAGCTGTCGTGGTTACAGAACTTCTGAATCATTTGGTTTTAATTTGCTGTATATACAGGTTGAAGTAAGGCTGAGAGAAGGAAAAGCTGTAAACATCCACATGTTTTGTGGCCGCAGACCAGGCCTCCTGCTGTCCACAATGAGGGCTTTGGACGACCTGGGGCTAGACATCCAGCAAGCAGTCATTAGCTGTTTCAATGGTTTTGCCATGGATATCTTTCGAGCCGAGGTACAATTTCTTACCATCGTAAAGTGTTCTCACTCGCTTTTAAAATTTTCGCCATGGGATGTTTAAATCGATGGTGAGTCTTGTAAAACTTACCTGCTCCCCATAAAAGCAAACAAATGAAAAGCCTGAACCCATGTATTGCTCCAAGCTGCGAATCCTCGGTAAAAAACAACTGGGGGAGTTAATACAACGTTTTCCTGCTTCTCTTTTTGCCCCTCTATTATAATCTTTTATAAAATTGAATGATTTTACTATCCACTTAGTTCAATCTTTTCAACTGCTTTTCCACCTGATTTTGATGTGCATGAGCCGTTTTGTCCTTTTACTTTTATTGAGAAAAGCATCTGAAGATCGATGCATCACTTTCTCCTTTGTGGTTTGAAATGCAAGTAATAGAGAGGAGGTTATTCTTTCCAGTATTTGATGATTCAGATATCATTGATGTGTGTTCCTATTTTCAGCAATGCAAGGAAGGGCAGGACATCCATCCTGAGCAGATCAAAGCTGTACTTCTGGATTCGGCCGGCTTCCATAACATGATATAGTTTTTCTTCAGCAACTGTATCTGAACTACAAACAGACTTGTTATCTCCAAAGAGAAAGTGAGCAAGGTGCATTTTGTTTCAAGTGTGTACGAGTCCAACCTTGAGAGCTTTAAATTAGTTTGAACTAAAAGCTTTTGGAAGAATTTGAGAATCTGTAATCTTTGAGCTATTTTTTTTTTTTGAGCTTCTTAATAAATTTCTGCTATTAAAATTTAGCCAGATTCTCTCTAAACCTTTTCTAGCTTAACTTAAAAGCACATATTTGTTGATCCTGGATAGATAAGCATCTTCCTGCATTCTTTCAATTGATTTAAAACTTGTCTTGCTTTTGACTTCACCTGTAAATTGAGACGACAGATTTTTTGTTATTAGAGATGGTACCGTAAGCTTTAAAAGACTTTAGGAAAGTTGGGGCCTTTAATTTATGTTAATTTATTCTTTTTCTTTTATGTCGTATGAAACTTAAAAACATAGGCGGTAGTATCATTTTTGTACCACGTTGTCTTCAGTTCTGAAAGTCAAAGATTTAGTCGGTTGGTATTAATCGTGACTTAGTATGAGCGAGGGGGTTATGGTACTTGCCCCAACAAGCCACCTTGTAAGTTGCATGACTTTTGCTGCTTTCGTCAAAGACTAGCTTTGAGTAAACATGTAATTGTTTGTTAACCTTTTGCCACAACAAAAGAACATGTGGTGCACCTCCAACGTGGATAAGCTGTCAAAATTACTATGTCCCAGTTGAAGTAAAAGGTTTATTATTATCTCCAATGAATGAATGGGGCCCTGATGTAATTTGCTCCCACCAGGGGCTCTGCACTTTTCCCACCTTTGGTCTCGAGGAAGAGATGTTAGTCAGACTATGACTATATACATGTTTACATTTTCCAAGCAGAAAGGAGGAAGTCGAGCAAAGAAATTAATATAATAATATCAGCCAAATGCTGATTATTCAAACCCAATCCCACTACTCGGGCGGCCAGCATTGAACCGGAATTCCACTGTTTATAGTTAAAAATCAACCGCCTTTAACATTCAGGCACTTACCGAGCTGCTCGATACAATGGATCTTGCAACAGTGACGTCCAGAAATCAATCTGGTGAAGTTCCTGGAAACCACTGACGTTTAGAGAAGTTAATACTCATGCACTCATGTACCAATCACCCTTATAACTGATGCACTGTTTTGGATGCGATTACAGTTAGTCCCAACGTTTCTTTTACATTAGTTATCGGTTTTCAGCAAGGATTAACCAATCTATATCCTTCCCGCTTATAGAAACCAACGACCCACATCCCACAGCATCTCCTTCGGTTCGAGGCAAGACCAGACAAATGGCCACTCAAAACCCTGCTTCCTTGATTTATTACAGAGAGAATATCCAGACAAGACCCCAAAATTTTCACAACATTGAGAAGGATCAAGGGCATCGAGCAACACATTGCAACAGATTCAACAACCACAATCACAGAGGAGATTTTTAACAAATAAGAAAACTGATTTAACTTTCTACTACTTGATAAAAAAACACACCGCTACAAATAATGTGCTCCGCAGAAGTATTTTGACTACTTCCAGCTATATAGCAAAGACAATATCTTTGCAGAAATGCACCCAATAACAATGTGCACTACTGAATAAAAAATACAATAAAAACCAACAAAATGATATGCTTACTTGAAAAGACATTAGATTGTGTACTAACTTACTTACATTCACAGGTTGAAAAGGGGGAAGGGGGGAAGGGGGGTAAAACATCTCTGTACAAGGGGTATCGAGGATGGTTGCAAAAGCAAGGCTGGTGTAACCACGCTTGGAATTCAAATTCGGGTATACATATTTATGTATATAAAAGACACCATACACTACTACCTCCACAACATTTCCAAAACTGGACATACCATTTGTGCCATCTATGACTTTCTGAGACAAACTTGCTGCCAATATAGACTCACAAGTCAATTTCAACTCAATTAATTCAAGTTCTAACCAACTGGAATGTCACTATAGCACTCCTGACGCCTCCACCCAAAAGCTGAAACAAGAATGGCACATGTTACCTACGATGAAATAACCTTTGGGATGCTGGAACAAGGTACACGAGCAAAAAAGAGGGAGGCAGCATCAAAGGCAAATACATGATGGTCAATTCAAATTGATCATTTTCCACAACCTATACAAAACAAGATCCGATACTTTTGGAAATTGTCAGGAGGGTATACGCACCTAGAATATTACTCAGAACCATTACAGCCAAGCCTAACAATTCTCTGCACTAAATCCTGGACATTTCACTTCTTTGGCATCTAGCTCTTCAGCAGAAACTGGATTATCCTCACCCTTGGAACTCAAGGACCCTGGCTTCATCTTCTGGACCTCCTCCCTACTGTAGATACCAATTTTGCGGACCATGGCACAAAATTCCCTAATTTACAAGGAAGAATTTAATAATGATGTAAGCCATCAAACATATGAAACAAGTGAAATGCATTCGAATGAAGACAAGAATCCTTACTGCCAGGGATCATCTCCAACAAGCATCATATCACCCTCATCATCAGTATAAACAACAAGCCAATCCCTTCTAGGAGCCATTAATTCACCTCCAAAATCAAATAATTGATCCAATTCAGCAATCAGTTCTTCATAGTTGTTGAACTTTGTAAGATCCACAGACCTACCAAGAGCAATACCCTGCTTGTGAACCTGAAAAATAAAAATGATCAAGTTCCTTACAGATTTCATAACAGCAAGTTATATTATCAAGACAAGAGAGTGAAAGAACCTTAGTACAGCTCCTAGTTGAAACACTAGCAGGTTTGCTTTGAATCTCTCTTGTATGGGGCTGACCCAGATGAAACGTTTTGTCCTGCTCATTAAATGCAGACAGGCCCTCCGGCAATTGCGAGACCTTTGACTTTTCAAACTTTTGATCAGATTCAAACGCACGAACTTGGTGTGAGGAAGGTTGCATATGACCCACCGGCTTATTCAACACATTTATATGGGAGACTGCTGGCTCTGACGAAACAGAGTTACTAATGAGAGGAATGCCAAAGAGCTTGCAGTTTCCTTCTCTAGATTTTCCAGCCTCATGCTCTTGTACTGATGATGTTTTCGAGATCAAATCTCTTGAATGAGCTGGACTCTCAAAATGAGATGAGGTTGGGGGAGGCATCATCCAGTTCCCATGTGAGTGCTCAATCCTATGACCTTGAAGTACAGGATACTCACCAAAACCACTAAATCTACCATTTCCTCGTGCTAGGTAAGGCATGTCAGAACCTTGCACGGTAGGCTTTGCATTATTGTCAACCAACTTGAGCGAGAGCCCTGAGGGTATGAGGGACCAAGAGCCAAGCTTCCCTTCCTGCTCAAGTAGTTGTTTTCTAATTGGATTCCCAGCTGCTAAAGTTTGATCAGCTAAGGGTGGACAATATCCATGGGACGAATCAGCATTTAACCCAAAACCTGAGAGAAGGTCAGAGTATGTTGGTTCATGCCTCCCGGAAGACATCCAGTTCTCTGACCCAAATCTCCTTGAAGCAGAAACCACATCAATCTTCTCATCATCTACTGAAGGTGGCCAAATAACTGACTTTTCAGCAGTGTCAGACTCATTACTCTCAGCAAAGTTGCCTCTCAAGGTCGAGAATTCTTGACCTTGCAAGACCCTTGAAAACCCACTAGCTGGTGAAGGGTCTACAGTAACTTTGGATGAACCTGAGAAATGAATGAAATTCAATTGATCTCTCCCACTGAGCTGTTACATGAAAATATATTACAAATCCATTATACACGAGACAGGACCTACCTTCCCTAGTAAGCACAGAGGAATCAGGGGATGAAGGCACTGCATTTGATCGAGGCCTTTTTGGCCTGGGCATTGGAAGGGGATTTAGGGCAGGAGGAGCCAAAGCAGGTTCAATTTTCCAAGGAGAAACTCTCTCTGGACGAGGTATGGTAGAAGTCTCATCCCATCGCACCTATAACAGATATTAGAACATTGTTTCAAAATCCCCAAACCTTTGAGACATTCTACCATTTGTTTTAATAATCTAAGAAACTGTAAAATGGTCAAGTTAAAATCTACCTTGAGGCATCTCCATTTAGAATCCTGCCACCTTTTTGGATCACAATCTTCAGTTCCAACTATTGTTCCAGTAAACCTGCAATAACAAAATGGAAAACATTATCTCAGTTTGGCTCCATATCAAGTTGAAAACCGTTGGCTTTATGCAGTAACATACGAGAGACTTCAAAAACAATTTTTTTGATAAAGCCACAGAAGGATATAGTGCCAGCAAAAAGAAAGGTAGACACAAGCCATACCTCTGCTCAGGAGCTTCTTCACCTTCAAATCTCATTTTGAACCTCATCCCTATAGAGTAATTGTTCTTTACTGACTCAACATACTGATCAAATGGAACAATAAACTCAGCTGGGCTTGTCCTATAACAGAAAATTGAGAAGTGTAAGTACAAGAAACAGGAACAAAGTCCTCTAAAAACAGCATTGTTAGAGTTGCAAATTCATCACCCACTGATCTATTGGGGAGCTGTCAAATATCATGCCAGTAAAAATGTAATAGCACAGCAAATAGGTAGCCTGATCTATGTACCTAGGTTTGTAATACACAGTGAATATGGTTCTTGTTGTGTAGGCATGCCATGCTGTCGCAAGCACACCTAGATGCATGCTATGGCTTGATATTACTGATGAAGGAACATTGCTCTGCTGCCTCATTGCGCGTCGTACACCAACACGTAGGTCTCCATTCTCACCTCTAGAAATTACATTTCATTTCCATGCATTAATTATCAAGCTCAAACAAAATATTCCAAGCTAAAACACCATTTTTCCACAGCAAAAGTTGGAAAGCAGGCAAACCTTAAAAATATAAATGCATCCCCTGCAACAAGCCTCTTGGAGCTAACAAAAACACTCCAACCACTTTGAAGCAAGTGCCTTCTTGGTTGACCTGGTATTCCCATCAAAATTTGAATCAAATTGTAAACTAAACAACTTTTAACTTGAAACTGATTAATCAGAAGAGAACCAAGTTAAATAAATAAAAGAATACATTGACCAGAACTTGTATGAACATGTCATGACCAAACTCCTTGAATTTCATTGTGCATCATGTATAAGCATGAAAACTAAACTTGCATTTACGCGTGTCTAATTATTTAGGTGTA